CAGGAACACGTCACACAAAAATTGTGTCAGGCTGGGAAACCTGGTGGTGRACCAAAACTGCAGCATATCAAGAGCATTCAGGAGGTAAACATGAGTGTCAGGAAAACCTGCAAGTGATAAACTCATTTTAGTCCATCTGGGTATCCAGTGCAATAGCCAGCAAAACATTGCAGGTACATACCTAAAAACAATGCACTATAAATAACATGCTGTATTTTTTTTAAATCAGGCTTGAAAAATTATCCTTCAGCACTCTACCCTCTTGCATGACCCTGCTGAGTTGGTTGTTTGTGCTGGCTATGGTGACATCTGTTGCTGGGAAATGAATTGCTTCCATACGTCATGGGTTCCAAACAACTCTATTTTTGCCATAAACAGTGAAGAGGTGAAATGAAAGAGACTTCTGGTCCTTAAGCAGCAGCAGCATGGGAAGGCAGASTGTCTGCTTTAAGATACTCAAACTGCTAAAAGTTATCTGTGTTTCAGACTTTTCAAAGTTTCTAATACTGTCAATAAGTTACGATTACTTAAAAAATTCCTTTGATCGCACTGGATGTTTCTTTGACAGAGTTTTCAATACTGGTTTGAACTCACTAAAACATAGCAGGGAAAAGTCCAAATTTTAAAAGATGTTACCCAATGAAACAGTAACTGTTTCCTCTGTTCCATTTATTTCTGGTGATATCRCTTGGGAAAGTGGATATCGCTTGGGAAAGCGAGGGATAACAAACTTCATCAAGGCAGTTCTTTTTCCATGAATTGAAAAATTTCCAATCTTTACAGAGAAACAACTGTAGAAAATTAACAGTAGCAGGAGTTCTGGGACTCTYGCAGTGAAACACATAAAATTTCAAAAAAAATTTCTTTCACTGTGTGTAGTCCTTGCCTGAATATAGGTTTAACAATACATGAAAACTTTAATCCTGTGATCATAATGATCACTCCCTTTGAGGGATTACAAGCCACCAGTATCATTGSGCTTCTCAAGGCTTTAAATTGCTAGAGAATTCAGAAGTTCTGAAATTGATGCTGAGCATCTGATACTGCAATCATGCCTCAATGGAAGAGCTGCAAAGGGAAGAAAAACTCACTGCAGGGAGTGCTGTCATGCTGTAGGACAGCTATTCTAGCAAAAGATCAGACGTGGCATTAACATCCCTGCTCTGACTCCGCTATGAAAAGCTCTATATTTTCTCCCTGTTCAAGAGTCCTGTCAGAAGCACATGAGGGCATTGACAATGGAGGTGCTAAGAGGGTCTGCAGGGTATGACCTGCCCTGAGAGTGGAAGCAGCAGTGTGGTCCTTCTCACCAAAACCTTGATCTATTTCCTTTGTGTTAGGGATTTCACACTGACACAAACTATAGACAAAATCAAAARCTTGCTTTCTTTGCTAGTATCTGATTTGCTTTTTTCTTCATCTCAATAGCCAGCTCCATGGTAGCTAAGAGCTAAAACAACCCATTTCTGGAAGCAGGGGAAATGAGAAAATTACAGGGCAGATGCAGAAGATCTTRTGAAAGGAAAACACCAGATTTTTTTCCTCTCAAGTAATGCATATATATTTAGATGCATTTACAGTGAGCATGTAATATACCAAACCACYACCCTCAAGGCAAGTCAAAAATAATAAATAGCATTAATGACTTTTACCTGCAATGTTTGCCATTTCAGGGGCAGTAGGTACCTCTGAACTACCTTTGCATGCTTTACTTGATGTCCCCTCACTATAAATCTATTACCACTAATAACCCTCCCAGTGATTTAAACTGGAAGATAACTTAGGCTGAATGATGCTTTGGTTTTACAACAGAATAGTTTGATCCCTTGGGTTTGTTTACTCTTTACACCTTGCTCAGTACAATTGTTCATCAAAGGAAGCAATGGCCCTGATCCTTCCTCTCTGTGACCTGTTCACATCAYTTCTGCTGCCAAGTACTGCCAAATTTCAGCTCAATGCTGACTGGAAATGACCCGTGCCATGTCATGGAGCAGGTGTGTGCCAAGGGCTGGCAGTGGTGGGGTGAACACCAGCCTGTTGGTG